GCCGCTGCCAGATCCGAGGGTTCCCAGGGAATGTGGGAGAAACCAGGTGGTTTTGCATGAGAAACGCTTCTGCTCTGCTGCTGCATTTGTAATGCCTCAGCTGGGGCTTTGATCTTTATTAAAGAGGGAGCCCGTGCGGTCTGACCAGCCAAGAGTGCCCCGGTTTAAGCGTGAACTTTCCACATCACAGTTCGCAGGCTCCATCCCATCCCTGGCGAGCTGCAGTTTCGGCTCTGGCGCTTTGCTGCTTGGTGAAATAGCGAGGACAGGACCTCTGCGTGGTTTCCCAGCAATGTCCTTGGCCTTCGCACCGCGTTCTCCCAGGCTGCAGCTCTGCTGGCAAAGGGCATCCCCAGCCGCTGCTCGCAGCCCGCGTTCCCACGCTGTGTCAGCCGTTCACGGGCATGCCCGGGCTCTGAGCGTGCGGACGGCGCTGGGCATGAAGGAAAGGCTCTGTTATTTGTTCTCAGCCAAAAATCAGCTGCTTTTGAACTCTTGTTTCAGTAGCCAAGCGGCCCTCTCCCTCCGCATCCAGCGAGGCCCCAGATGATTAATTCCCTTTGCTGTCCTGAGCGGAGAAGTCACCCTGCTCAGCGCCAAGCTGAGGTTCTCAAGGGACTAAATTCATGAGTCTGCTTCTTGCTGATATGGTCACGGGCAGAGCTGGGCATGTCTGACACGTAATGTCCCGCACAAATTCACTGACACTTTACGCAGTTTCCAAGTGCGTCGATATTTAATCTGCCTTCCTGCTGCAGGTGAATTACATCCCACCTCTTCACATCAGTGCAGCACACCGGGTCTAGTCCCCCGATAGATGAAATAGAGGAATTGTCATAATATTTTATTTCAGCGAAGAGTAATGATGGATTTTTGATATCTCTGGTGCTGCTAATATGTAAGCCAGTCGCAGAACCGGGCAGCACTGTGATCTGGCGGTATTTGTATGCGTTTATATCGCTGCTCATATTGTGCAAAGGCATGGCCAGAAGAGCTGCTCCTGCCCTGTTGAGTTTACACCCCGAGGAATGCATGGGACGCAGGCGGGTCAGGCAAAATGGAACGCTTCCCGGTGGGGAGCGAGGTGGAGCGATTCGGGCAGAGGGAGGCAGTCGGGCTGTCTGGCCGGGGTTCCCAGCCCATCAGCCATCGGTCGCGTGGTTTGGTCAAACCAGTTCCCCTGTGGAGCCGGGATGAGTCACTGCGGGCGTGAGGCTTGGTTCAGTGCACGGAGCAAGTTTAGACTCTGGGGTCACTGCAGGAGTGCGAGATACTGCTTGGTTTGTTTTTTTCTTTTTTCTTTTTGGTTCGAATAAACAGCCAAAGTTATGCTGTAAAATAAAATTGAGCAAAGAGCAATGCAGAAATTTTAATCATCGGAGAATATCATTATGTTGTCTTTTATGTGGTTCAAAGCTGTCAAACATATTTTTTTAAATATTTTTGCAGTAAGCTGGGTCTTTACATCCACAGCTGGAACTGCAGCTCACAAAGAGCGATGTGTCCAGACAGCTCTGCAGAGAGAGTTTCCAAATTCCCCGTTACAGCCTCCTTGGGCGCGTACCCCGCGTTCCCACGCAGGCCAATTCAGTACCTACCCTTGGCATGGATAACGCCCCGGTGCCCGCGCAGAGCCCCTTTCACCCCACACGCGCCCATCATCTGTGCGTTTATGTACGCTGGCAACGCATGTTCGTACTCGCGAAGCCCAGAGAAAGCCCACCCAGCAGACGCTCAGACAGGGGACCTGCACGGGGATGAGCGGAGCAGTCGGTAGAAGAACGTGTTATTTGGGCTGATTGTGTAAAACCCCTTCTGAAAGCACCTCGCTTGAGCACAACAAAATTTATTTTTATTGGTCTGAGTTTGGTCTGGTTTTTGGCTCACTGCGCAGACAGCACTGTCTCTGAACCATCTTTAATAGACTGCTATTGAAATGCTTCGTCAAACTAAGAAATATTTTGATTTGACGGGGTGAACCCAAGTGCCCCATTCCAGATTTCTATGTCGTACGTGGTCTCTGAGTCCCTCCAGAGCACAGTGCTGGCTGGGGTGTCAGACAGCCGTCTCGCCTGTGTGTTAACATCCTTGCACCGGGTTTTGTAAGGTGCAGAAACGGCCCCGAGCCAGCCCTGCGTTCCGGAAGGAGAAACCCTGCTCTGGGAGGTGGAAGGTGGCCCAAGGGTTTTGCTCTAAGGAGTTTCCCACAGCCGGTTATCCATCCTTACTTCACCTCTCTGGGGATGTACGGATTGAATTTTGCCTCCCCATGCATGGCTGGTGCTGAGCTTCGGTGTCTTTAGCCTCACCCATGCCCACCAGGCACAGGACGGTTTGTGGGGCCCTTCTCTTTAGCCTGTCCCCTCGTGTCCTTTGTCCCTCGAGCAGCACTGGTCCTTGGGGCTGTCGGCCAGCAGCAGGGTCCCTCTCCGTCACCTCCTGCCGGGTGTTCCTCCTGCCCAGGTCCCGGCCCCTCTCTGTCTGGTTCAGGGATGTCCGTGCATTCAGAATATCGCAACCCACCCCCAAAAATTGTGGTTAGTGAAGTGACTCTCCAGGAAGCCCCAGGAAACCACATCAACGCTGCCGTTAGCCTCACCCTGTGGAGCGACCAGCCCTTCGCTGCCGCCCTGGGTGGGAGCTCAGATCCGCACGCTATCACGGCTCCGGGTGCAAAGCCCTGCAGACAGGACAGGCTCAGACATGACAGCTGGGAGGTTTGCACATGGAGGGGGAAAAAAAAAAAAGGCCACGACTCCGGAGCTCGAATTGGCGCTTTTGCAGCCCGGTGGAGATGTTAGCACAGGCTGAGATTGAAGGAGACGTGTGCCTGGTGGTGAACAGGCAGTTTGGTGCAGAAATCTGTCCCGGGCTGGTGGGAGACTCTTGGAGAAGAGAGAGTGGGATTCGAGCCTCTGCTTGGCTCCTCGTCCCCAATTCCTGAGCTCTGTGTTGTGGGTAAAAATGAGACGGGAATCACAGAAGGCATTATTTGCGGGGGGAAAACTGCAGATGGCAAACGTGTGTAAGGCATATGTGTGACAGAGGCTTCTCTCCAGCCAGCACAAGAAACGATTCCCTCTGCTTCCTTTCCAGCCATGTTTCCAGGTCTGTGTCTCCCACGACGACATCTCAGATACAAGCCAGGAAGAAGAGGAGAGGGGTGAGTCTCATTCGCATTGACCAGGGTGGTTGTGCAGTGTCACCTTGGGGGGTCAGACTGGTCCCAGCTGTGTGCCAGGGCTCCTGTGACACCCTCTGTGTGCAGCGGGGTGCTGTTGGCACATCTTTACCGTGGGGACGCATCGCAAAGTCGACTTTACACCGTCCCCTGCTCCAT